TACAGTCACATGAGTGAAAACATACTCTTTCAAGCCCACATGTAGTCCACCTCACACCCATCTTATTACAATCTGTTCAAGAGATTTACAGTCAACACCTCACATATTAACCAAAGGTGTGTGTCCCCTTGGAGAGTTTGTATTAACCAACAAATGCACATAGTTTCTCAACAAAATGTTTGACATTCCCTTGGGAAACAGGGCAAAGCAAACATTGGGTCAATATTACATGGGTCTTTATTTTAAGCAATCATTCATTCCAAAAAAAAAATTACATACCAAGAAGTTCTTAAACAATGATTCTTTATCAGCAATGTGGAGAATTGTGTCTCTACTGTAAATTACATCAAATGATTCTGGTGCATAATCTGCTGTTGTTATGTCAGCAACCACAAATTCAACCTAAAAACACAAAGGACAACTTGAAAGTTTAGTGCTTGAGCTACAAAGTTCAGAAACACATTTATTTAATACTACATGTACCACTTTTGGGCCTTTTTCATCTGAAACATTCTCAGTTCAAATCACAGTTAGTTTCCATTCGGCATATGTTGAGCTTAGAAATTTCCAATGCTGCAAAATCGCAATGACATCTTCATGACAAAAAAACACTATGTTTACATAATATAAATTGTACCATCTCAAGATTACATTAACCCTTTAACTCCCATGAGTGACCAAGACAGAATTTCTCCTTACAATATCAATACAATGTCAACCAGATAAGTGATGAGAATAAAGAAAAATATCAACTTGGGGATGATTAGTTGATCCAATACTAAATTCTCTGAACTAGTATTATAAGAATTGTATGGTTGACAGTAAGGAGAATGACAAATTTGATCTGGGAGTTAAAGGGTTAAGATATTTATATGAGTTACAGTAATTTCTACATGCATGTGGTATAAAACCTGTAAGGGAATTTCTTCTTGATGTATTATTACAACAACTTACATTCATTTAGTTGTAACATTTATTTACTCATAATGTTTACATCATACTTTAAAGTTACTGACTTCTAATTGTTAAATCTTCCTTCTAGCTTCTAAATATTTCCTTAGAAATGAGTTACAAGGATTTGGTGTTCGATCAAGATAACTTCTACCTGATAAGTTTGAGTATTCATTATCTGTTTGCTGGATAATGTATGAATATTTTAGGGGGAAAATTACATGTTAATCACTTCTTGAAGTTAAAGGTTACATGTAAGCACATTCTACCTTGTCATCCTTAAATTCTTGGGCTCTCTGTTTTCCTGTATCAATCATATTTATTGACAAGTCAACACCCAATACTTCCACTTTAAAATTCTAGGTGAGAAACAAGATAGTCAAATTTAACACAATATTCCACAAAAGTTGTTAATTAAAAGCTAAAAATTTTGGTTAAAAACATGCTACCACATAGCTTTTATGAATTAAAAGATAATATCTGAAAACTCTTTTAAAAAAAATTAATTGCAGTGCTATAAACAAGAAGCAAATCCTACATGTAGCTCTGAATTGGTCTGAAATCTAAAGATTTTTTATTCTTAAAAAGATCCCCAACACCCTCCCCAGCCTACCCCTCTGCATACCAGTATTGACAAAGCCGCATAATGACTCAGAGCATAAGAAAAATAAAGTTGCACCGCAAAAGAAAACCAAGTTAAATTATTATAGTCTAATGATTTCCCTTAGCCCATGCCCCTGAATTTATTGATTGCCTTCTTCATCCAAGTCCCTTCACAAACTAAAATTTGATAAAATTGACTCAGTGCATGAGAAATTCAAAAAACAAAGTTGTAAGAAAACTAATTTCAATTAGAATAAAATTGATTTTCCTTATTTTATTTGTAAAATATCAACATTTCCTTTTAACTAGGAGTTTGAGAGGTTTATCCAAGAGGCGACTAAATAAACCTAAAGAGTAGGCATATATACACTGTACAATAAAAAGGGATTTATCACAAGTCATACCTTCACCATGTAGAAAGCAGAACCTCCTATTCCACAACCAACATCAAGAACTGTTTGACCTGGTCTTAAACTCAGCATTGCTACAATTTCCTACATAAAAAAGAAAAGAGAATGAAAAAAATGAAAAAATTGCTTTGTTCCCATATTTCACTCCAGGGAGGAAAGGCTTTAAAAATTTTGGGATAGACACCACAGAGAATGAAAGATGACAGGTGTACTACATAATCCCTGGGATAAACAAAGATACCACATCCCCTTAACTAAATACAGTGATATAAACTTGTGTATCAGGTTAAAATCACGGGGAATGAAAGATCACAATATTACAAAATCCCTGGAACAAAGGAAACAAAGGTCACATGAAATAACCTGTAGGGGGTTAACACCACAGGAATGGTAGGGGACCTTAGTGCACAATCCCTGAGGTAAGATCTTTGTTACATGTATGTGAAGGGACCTTTTTAAGGTTACTGTCAACAATATCATGTAAAACACCTTGCAAAACATTGAGAAATAATAGTCTTTATCACACCATAAAAAAAGAAAAGATGTAAGAGACCCGAAGCCAAAGGAATCGAAATTGAGTTTTCTTTTACCCTAGCTTACTTTTCCCACTTTTCCGTTTGCTTTTCCCTATGTATTTTGGATTTCCCTTCATTCATATTCCCCATTTAGCGAAATGACCATTGCAAATTTTAAAGTACTTTTTTGTCACAAGACTCGCCACAAATGTGAGAGAAAAATAAAACACAAACAAAAAGTCACTCCTGAGAATTCCCAATGACAGGAGCAAAAGCTGGGTTTCAACAAGGGCTGCACCACAAATAAAAAATAGAAATCATTGACGAAAGAAAAGTTTCTCCCTCGATTGCACAATACATGAGGGAGAATTTAGATTTTCATCTGCTGGCAAAAACTTACGAAAATATCTAGGATTTACAGATTATAACTCTGTTTTATGGCACTGCATGATATTTTTTGGCTCATTTCAAGCTTAATGATCAAAACTGAATTGATTTCACGGAATTCTTCTAGAAATTATTTCATTAGGGGCTGATCGATTACGAAATATTCCACGTCCGCAGTATGAAAAAATAAAAAAAGAAAACTTTATTCGGGAAAGTAAAATTAGCTACTGCATAGGCTACCTTCGAATGAGCTAAAAATTACATTTGCAAAATAACTCTAGATTGCAGGAAGAGAGAAAGAGATTTTGCCTCCCAGTAAAATTACTTGGATCTCCTGATGTACCTTACCTCGGTTGTTTCAAGACCTCCAGTGCTTACAAAACCACGTCCGAAAATTTTCTCGTAACGCAAAATACTATTGTTGGAATACTGATTCTGGTCCAGAAATTGTTGAAATTGATCGCTCTGTTGGCTTGTGGTCGGCATCTTCGAAAAATTAGGGTAGGACAGTACAGCGCTGGTGTTGCGTACAGTGTGCAATCGTATTACCGGGAAAAACCCTTCAATTTATATAATCAGTGTCAGCGGTAAACATAATTGAGATAAGCGCAAAACCTTTGTTACTTCCGTTATTAATAGTATTGACTAGGAAAATAATTAACCATGCCCATAAAATATTGTAAAGTTGCAAAGATAAGGGAGGGTAAAATACGAGCAATGAATGGCTCAGTAACTCCTTTTGGAAACAAATCGGTGGACGATGTCTTTTTTCCGATTTCTTTCGAGTAAAAATGCTGCTCTTGCTCTCAAAAGCCTGTGCTCTTAACGAGCACAGGCAGAAAGAAACGAACTTGGAAATACTGGTAGAAAACGCTCGTTTTCAGCATAATGCGCAGCCATTTTTGGGCTTTTTGATTTTGCCACGTGTCTTTTGATTTTTCCACGAGTCTTTTGGTTTTCCGTGAGCTATTTGGTTTTGCCGTGAGCTTCTTGGTTTTGCCGAGAGCTTTTTTGAGCTAATTGGTTTTGCCGTGAGCTATTTGGTTTTGCCGTGCGCTTTTTGATTTTGCCGTGAGCTATTTGGTTTTGTCGTTGGCTTTTTGGTTTTTCCGTGAGCTATTTGGTTTTGCCTTGAGCTTTTTGGTTTTTCCGTGAGCTATTTGGTTTCGCCGTGACCTTTTTGGTTTTACCATAACAGTTGTGGGCCACCGGACTAATGGACCTCTGGTCATTATGGGCCATGTCACTTTTTTTTTTTTCAATTAAAAAAAAAAAACATTTATTTTACTTGTATTTTTCTTTTCTTTCCTTTTTGTTGTTGTTGTTGTTGTTTTTTTTTTTTTTTCGAAATGGAAAAAAATTGAAAGAAAAGAAAACGAAAATATGAAAAAAATAAATAAAAACACAAAATAGTTAGGACAGATATCAAAAAAATCTATGGCCATACATAATGGGCCACCATACACCTGAAAGATTTGATTCTTTGTCATTCGTGATATGATTCCTAATGCGCTTCTGAAAAGTAGCTTGAGCGCAAAGTTTTTGCTTGTGTGCAACAACTTTTTATTTCATTGCGTAAAAGGCGAACGAAATAGTCAAGGGCTCAAGTTCCTCTCGCGCGTGTCTCAGCTCGTATACTAAATTAGTGTAGCAGGAAACTGATTATGTTTGTCATGTTGAACTGATTTAGTCTGGCTTTACTTCTGTGGCGCAAACTTTAAGGGGAAATTCAATCCTTGCGGAACGTGAAATTAACTCGGAGCGTCATTTAGCGTGGCCCGGATGTTCTGTTCTTTATTGGCCACTTAGATTTTGTTTCATTTTTCTGGTCCACGTCTTAAAACGTGCAGTAAAAATGAACTTTAGAACGTTGCACATGGAAAATGGAGGGTCCTGTGCTCACGTCTGATGCTTGCGTCTTCCTTACTTTGTATTTCATTGGGTGCTAGGCGAACGAATTAGTCACGTGCTCTTCCTTTCGTGTGTGTCTCAGCCTTCGCGGGCTTCCCGCAATTACCACTGCCTAAACAATGCAAACCAAATATCAGAATTCCACTGCCTAAACAATGCAAACAAATGGCGCGTGTACCTTAGGTTAGGACAAGCCTTATCGAATGACAACCATAACCAAATGTTAAAAGCACCACCTGATTTATTAACCTTTCTTAAATTAATTTTTGGAGATACAAATAGTTCACTGGCAGCGAACATGCATGTGCTTAGCTAATAAATAAAAATAGAGCACCTGAAAGATTTGATTCCTATAATTGCCGATAAAAATTTTATATATAATTCCTACGGCGCTTTGGAAAATTCGCTTACACGCGAAGTTCTTCTTTTTGTGCAAAAAGTGATTTAAGAAGATTTCTTGGCATGGAATAGACCCCATTTTTGGTCTCCACGGCCACAGCGGTCAATCTTTGTCTCCCAGTCTTCAACAAGGTATTCAAAATCATCCGATTTGAAATCCTGTTTTGAAAGACAGAAAACAAATAAACAAGAAAATCAATGAACTGTTAACTCTCAAACCCTCCAAGTAACCAGCATCTCATTTCTTCTAAGAGCATCACCCCTGAATCAAACATTAAGGCCATGATAATATAAGAAATGATCAAGTAAAGAAGCTCTCGATTGTTTTAACTAATTCTCCGTGTCAGAGAAAAAATGAATGTATAGAGAACCGTATGGAGAATATGCATACTGATGTTAGGGTGTAAAGAATTCAGCGATAAGATCAGTTTTTTCATCAAGTGTGCCTAACCACAGATTTTTGACCTTTAAAATGTTTCTTATATGAATTAATGATACAAATGATCCACAGCACAAGTGTAGCTTTAAATATTTTCACCTTCAAGAAGATGTCCCTGTCTGTTTCAAATCTTTTCCTCTCTGACTTAAGAACTTCAATAAATCTCTTGGTGTTGTCTATTGCTTTTACATCAACAAAACCAACCTTCTCAAGAAGCTATTTGAAAAGAAAGAAAAAAATGTTACAAAAGCTTCAAAAAAGGAGTTTCTTATAACTTTAGAATTCTGATATTTGTGTTTCAAATTTCACTTTTTCTGACAACAGTCTGGACATCTTAAATTTGAGTCTACATGCCTTAGCAGGAATCATATCTATCTAAACATCTCTGTTGGTCTTGTTCCGATTAAATTTTATTGATAAAATTACTACTGAATTCCATGGTCATTAGAAGAAGAGAGATTAAATTATCTCTATTATGGGTTGGTCAGACCATTTCAAAGTTTCATGATCAATTTCCCCACACTGGATCAACACTCTGGGTTTTAAAATCATAAAGTAGAATGTGCTGCCTTTGTTATATCATCTGCAAATAGTGGGACATTCTAGTCTCGTGGAATAAGGAGGAAAACAGAAGGCACTGCCTCCTCCATCTTCTCTGTACAGATTAAAAGAAAACATGGTCTGGCCTTGTTGTTGTTTAAACAGGCCCCCATTTTAACCCTTAAACTCCCAAGATTTCATTAGTAATTCTCCTCACTGCCTGCCATACAATTTATGTGATGTTAGTTTGGAGAATTTGGAATTGGATCAACCAATAATCCCCTAACTGATATTTTTCTTTATTCTTATTACTTGTCTGCTACATATCAAACTGATAATGTAAGGAGAAATTCTGTCTAGATCACTAATGGGACTTAAAGGGTTAAATAGCTTTAAAGATGACTGGGCCAGCCAGTCTAAATATCACAAATAATTAAATCAATATTGAATTTCAAGGAAAAGTTTAGAAGGTCACAAAAGAGTAAATTCCAGTTTATCATAATTCAAGGTTCTACATGTAGGCTCCATTTTCTTCATATTAACTTTGAGGTCATCTAAATTCATAATCCAGTCCCTGAAAAAAACTGTTTTCAATATTATATGAAACACTAAACCCCTGACCACATTTTAGAACCAGCTACAGAATAACAAACACAGAGAAATAAAAATTACAGGTCACAAAATTGGTGACTGCCAATGCAAATGTAGTCCCCGCAATTGTTTATAATTTTTAAGTACTGGTCAATTGTATTTTCAAGAAAGATGAAAAGCAGCCCAGTTTTCCAACAGATTCTCAGTCCTTACCTTTCCATAATCAGCTGGAGCCAGGAGGTGATATTGTCGCTTAGCAACATATGCTTTCATCTGCTCAGACAATTCATTAGCACCACGGCAGTAGTCAGAAATAAGAAGCTCTCCTCCAGGCTTCAACCATTTCTAATCAAGACGAACAGAATTACAACCAATCACTCAACTGGAACTTATGAAAATGCAATGTACATATACAAGGGGGCATGTACAGTGTAATGTGAGAAACGATTGAATGATGAATTTTGTTGACAACAAGTACGAGTCTACATCTTGCAAAGCTTTTTATGGCATATTTAAGTTTGAATTGAATAAAAAATTGTAAGAACTTGGTGTGTTCTAATAATCTACTACACATAGCTTCTTTATAAATAATTTTACATTCTCTTCTGAAACAGAGGGTGAGACAACTGTTGTGTCACAATTCACTTGGATCTTCAATTTAAGCACTCATTCATTCCCCAAAAAAAAATGGCATACCAAGAAGTTCTTAAACAAGGATTCTTTGTCTGCAATGTGAAGAATTGTGTCTCTACTGTAAATAACATCAAATGATTCTGGTGCATAATCTGCTGTTGTTATGTCAGCAACCACAAATTCAACCTAAAAACACAAAGGACAACTTGAAAGTTTAGTGCTTGAGCTACAAAGTTTACTGGTAAACACATTAATACTACATGTATCACTGTCTAACTTTTAAGCCATTTTCACCTGAAAATTTCAGTTCACATAACATTTGTTTCCATGCATTTAGCATATGTTGAAGTTACAAATTTCCAATGCAGCAAAATTGCAATGATATCTTCATGACAAGAAAAAAAGAGTTGCAAATTTTCAAGAACCTACCCACAACTAAAAAAAACCTCACTGACACCATGTTTACAGAAACCAACGGAGAGTACATAAATTGTACTATTACAAGATTACATTAAAATATACATTTGAGCTAATTTCTAGATGCATGTGGTATGGGAACCTGTAAGCAAATTTTTTTTGATTTCATGATCACAAAAACTTGCGTTTGTTTAGTTGTAACAAGTATTTTCTAACTGTGTTACATCATGCCTTACACTTACTGACTTCTGATTGTTCATTCTCCCCTCTAGCTCCTTTCCTAAACCTTTCCTTGGTAACGAGTTACAAGAATTTGGTGTTAGATCAAGATAACAACATCTACCTGATAAGTTTGGGTATTCTCATCATCTGTTGCTGGATAATGTACAGATATTTTGGGGAGAAATTACATGTTACCGTGGTAATCACTTCATGCAGTTAAAGGTTACATGTAAGCACATTCTACCTTGTCATCCTTAAATTCCTTGGCTCGCTGTTTTCCTATGTCAATCATATTTGTTGACAAGTCAACACCCAATACTTCCACTTTAAAATTCTAAGTAAGAAATAGTACAGTCCAATGTAACACAAAATTTCGTTGCAGTAGTTGTTAAGTAGTTGTTATGACAACATAACATATGGTACTTGGCATGTTCAAAAACCCTTGTTTGGTTCCTCTGTTGCTACTTGCCATCTCACTTGCTCTGAAATTTCACTTTCAATTCACAGAAAAAAGCTAGAGAGAATTCCTGAAAAAGGTTGCACACAGTACAATTTGGCAGATGGTGTGACAGCTTTGGCCGGCTTAGCTCTGTGCTCTGAACTCTGTACTCTGATATAGCCAGCTTTCTCCACCAGTGACAGAAAAAAAGGGTCAAGTCATACCTTCACCATGTAGAAACCAGATCCTCCGATTCCACAACCAACATCAAGAACTTTTTGACCTGGTTTTAAACTAAGCATTGCAACAATTTCCTGTAGAATAAAATAAGGATGAAAACAATGAAATAATGCCTTGTGTTACTCGCGTTTGGCCACCCTGTAGCAACATGTTGTAACATGTTGGACTGTGTTGGATCAAGTTTGAAAATGGCCAAAGTTTTGTTGCAACATTTTTGGATGTTATAAGATAATGCGCGCTTTTTGGTCAAAGAAAAGTTTCTCCTTCGATTGCACCATATGTGAGGGAGAATATAGATTTGCATGTGCCGGCAAAAACTTGCGACATATATCTAGGATTTACAGATGAAAGCCCTGTGTTTTGGCACTGCATGATATTTTTTGGCTCAGTTCACGGCTAATGATCAAAACTGATTGATTTCACCGAATTCTTCTAGAAAAGATTCCATTGGGGGCTGATCGATTTCGAAATATTACACGTCCGAAGTATAAAAAAATTAAAAAAAATTATTCGCGTAAGTCAAATTAGCTGCTGCAAGAGTTAACTGCGACAGCGAATGAGCTAAAAATTACGTTTGTTAAATAACACTAGATTGCAGGAAGAGAGGAAAAGAGATTTTACCTCCCAGTAAAATTACTTGGATCTCCTGATGTACCTTACCTGGGTTGTTTCAAGACCTCCAGTGCTCACAAAACCACGTCCGAAAATTTTCTCATAACGTAAAATACTGTTGCTGGAATACTGATTCTGGTCCAGAAATTGTTGAAATTGATCGCTCTGTTGGTTTGTTGTAGGCATCTTTGAAAAACTGGGGTCACGCACGATTTACGACGACGTACGATTGGCAAACTACTCGTGAAAAGTAAGATTCCGGGTGAACGCTTCAAGTCTTTATCATCAGTGTCAGCGGTAAACCTAATTGAGATAAGCCCTCTAGTCATCTTTACTTCTTCCTTTGTTATTCGTTACTAATTAACCGTGCTCGTCATAATATTATATAACACTGGAAAGGTAAGGAAGAGTAACATACGAGCAACGAATAGCTCAGTAATTTATTTTGGGAACGAATTGGCGGACGATGTCTTCTTTCCGATATCTTTCGAGCAAAAATGCTGCTCTTGTTCTCAAAGGATTGGAATCTTTACTCGATCTGGAAGAGCTTTGTGATGTAATCCTTCGAACAGAAGATGGTTTCTCGATATCGGCACACCGCAATGTTCTCTCCGTCGGAAGCCCATACTTCAGGGCCATGTTCTTGGGACAACTGAAAGAGAGCAGAAGAGAAGACATCACTCTAAAAGGGGTTACCGGTGAAGCTCTTCGATGTATTGTTCGGTTTGTGTACACCTCTTCAATAGACGTGAATGACGCAAATGTTGATGATGTTCTTAGCGCTTCGGACCTTTTCCAGATGAAAGAGATTACTACCGTTTGTTGCCAGTTTCTTAAAGAGCAACTTCGGCCGTCAAATTGCTTGGGAATAGCAGCTATTGCCGGTGGCTTTTCCTGCGAAGAACTTTGGAGTGAGGCGCGCAAGTTTGCGGTAAAACACTTCAATGAGGTAATAAAATGTGATGAGTTCAAGGATCTGTCGTTAGACGCAGTCAAAGATCTGCTTTCAGACGAAAATGTGTGTATTCGATCAGAGGAAGATGTTTATAATGCAGCTGTTGAATGGTTGACGTGTTTTGGCGATCGCCTGAAATACTCGTCGGAAATACTACGTTGTGTACGGCTACCTGTGTTGTCTCCTACATTTCTCAGTTCTCAGGTGATGAGTAATGAGTGGGTTATAAATGATCCTGAATGTAAGCAGATGCTAGATGAAGCCCTTTCCTATGCTTCTTCCCCTTCATCTGAAAAGCGTAAGCACTCTTCAGCAGTAAGAATGAGGCCACGAGTCCACTCGGGGTTTGCTGATGTCATGGTTGCCATTGGTGGTCTCCACCTTGGTAGTCCTGTGGCATCAGGGGAACAATACAACATGTACACTGATGAATGGTCACCTATTGAAGACATGCCTACCCTGCGGTATGGTGTTGCTGTTACTCAGCTTCATGGACAGATATATTGTCTGGGAGGATTTGAAAGTGGGAAGTACTTGAGCACAGTTGAAGCTTATGACCCTGAGGAAAATTCATGGATGATACGCCCACCGATGCTTGTGTCTAGAAAATACTTTGGTGCAACCTCCCTCGGTGGTAAAATTTTTGCTTTTGGAGGCTCCAACAGCCATCATCGGCTCAAAAGCGTAGAATGCTTTGATCCATATGAGAATCAATGGACCTTTGTCTCACCTATGCTGTGCCCAAGAATGTACTTAGCAGTTGGAACACTGGGGGGATTGGTGTATGCTGTGGGAGGACATGATGGCTTATCACGCCTGAGTAGTGTGGAGTGCTATGACCCTCAGAGTGATGAATGGAGCTATGTGGCTCCCCTAGGTATGGCTGTTGATTCTAACTTTTTACAAAAGAGATGCACTGTTACATCATTTTGAATTTTGTATATACCAGTGGTGTAAACCGGGGAGTAATATTTGATTTTGTAGTCTGTTGGTTCGTATGAAAGTAACTACTACAGATGACAGCCCTCCTCTGGATAACTTTTAGCTCAACAGTTAGACTATGCAATCAAATCTTTTGGATTTTGGTTGGCAGTAGATCTATCTTAGGTAGTTGTCACAGAGATCTAGCCTCTGCAACCTCCAGTTCTGGGGTCTGGGACTCTCTGGTATGCTGTTCTCTCCCCTCCCCTCAACAAACATTAGGAGTAATAATGCTATAATAATTCCCCATGGATGTTCCATAATCATGCTAATAGGCCCCCCCTTAGTAGGGGTTCAATATTTGATAAATCCCCTTTCCTAATGAGCCCCCTCCTTTCTATGCCCCACCCCCCCCCCCAGCTTTAAAAGAAAACAAATCAGTTTATTTCAAAAGTTTTTGATCTTTAATTCAGCTTGAAAGCCACCCTCCACTAGACATATACTCACTCAACACTCCCAACCACAAAATTGTTTATGTCTAAGGCTTGCAGTCAGGCTTTGTCCAAATGCAATAACACATTCTCATTATAGAAGTATTGAATCAATGTCAATACCTACCCCTTCACTAACCCAAAATTGATTCTGTTGTTGGGTCAGGAGAGGGGTATGTCTGCAGTTGCTCCGATATTGACATTGATCAAAGTGTCATTATAATATTAGTGTGTATAACTATTTCTTCTCAATGGTCTAATAGGTAAGCCAAGATCTGTTGCTGGTGTAGCAGCCCTTGGTGGCCTCTTGTATGTCATTGGTGGATTTGATGGGAACAATTATCTTCGTAATGTTGATGTCTATGATCCTGAGACAAATTCTTGGACTGCAGCATGTCCACTGAATGAACAGCGCTCTGCTACCAGTGTTGCCGTAATGAAAGGAAGGATTTTTGCCATTGGTGGCTTTAATGGACAGTTCTTGTCAAGTGTTGAGGTCTATGACCCTGAAATTAACCAGTGGAGTTACGTAAATAGTATGTCAATTCCAAGAGTACATTTTGGTGCCACTGTTGTGTAGTACATGTGATTTATTTTTGTATAAGATAGTTTAAAATTCAGTCTTTGGGGATGTTTCCATCACTGGGAGGAAATGTCTTTAGGCAGTTGGAACTGTTCTAACCCTTTCACTCTGAAGATCTCATGAGTGCTGGTAATTCTCCTTACTGGCTGTCGTACAATTCTTGTGATGTTTGGTAGGAGAATTTGGTATCTCCTTAATTGCTTTTTTCTTCATTATCATCACTTTTCTGTTGATATTGTATTGATATAGTGAGGAGAAATTATTTCTTGGTCGCTCATTGGAGTGACAGGGTTGGATCCAAGGATTTCCTACAAGCAGCAGAGTTAATGAAAATTTAAAAGGAAATAGCCATTGTGATGTTTGAATGCCCCTCTAAGTTTTATTATGGATTATGTTATGCTATATGTTTAATATCAGCAAAATTAGCTTTTTTGCTCCCATGTTACTAAATGAATGGTTTTGATAATGTTGGAGGAACCAAGAAGAATCTAATTGCTAAATAACTGATGTTTTTTTTTCATAATTTTCACACACATCATGCTTACGGCTTCTCATTTTTGCACCAATTAGGCGCAATGCTTTCACACTTAGAGCATACATGCGCAATGCTTGGACACTCGGAGATTATGCATTTCAGACAACTAACTCTGGTGCATTTATTTTAGTGCCTTTTGTGGGGGGTTAAATTGGGGCGCAAGATAATCCCGAAGTTTAAAACTTCAAGATTGGTTTGGATTTATTTGGTTGTGTTTTTAGTGATCAAAAGTCATATATAAACACTACCGGGAGCAATTAATACCCTCACATGACAAACACGCTGTTCCCTATGTAAGAAGAGAGGGCAGCCTTCGTGTTGGCTTGTCACACAACGTGTGGCGAGAGAGCAATTGCGTGATCATATTGTGCAATGACTGCGTGACAAGGATCTGTTCTTTCTTCTTTCTATTCGTCGATAGCGTGCAAACTAAGAAGGAGGAGAAGCCCTAAAACGAGGCATCAATCATTTCAAAAAATTTTTTTCGATAGAATGAAACACACCTTTTTTTTTCCAAAACAAAAAAGAAGAAAATGAGAGTTTGATTTTCGTGAGATCATACTTTTATTAAGGTTTCTAACATCATCCAAGCTTCATGATTCTCTGAACGATCGAATTCACTGCAGATATACGATTCTTTTAAATTCTTCGAGGTTTTATATAAGCGACTGATATCATCATGCCGATCACTCGCTCAATTCTGTCAAAATACAGTTGGAAATGTTAGGTAAATTAATTAGGACAGCCGGATTGACCAATCACGTTCAAGTCAAGTCTACGTGTAAAATTTCATTCCCATTGATAGGATGCAGCACAGAAAGCAACTGTCGGAACACCCACGTCTTTCGAAGGGTGGCTGCTTAGACAGAAATCAATTTTCGCGGTTAACTGAAACGGGTCCTATCCAGCAGGCTGATGTAAGTGATCAAAATCTTCGAAAATCTGAAAAAAGCACGCAGTTATTTTGCTCCATGAGAATAAGAAATATTTCAAAGTTAATGTTGAAAATGCATACCTTACGCAGGTGATATTCTGCTCCTGACCTACATATGATGGCAAGAGAGTAGAAACGAGCATACATGCAAAATCTCTGGCTGTAAGTTCATAATTCCGCAAGAACCGATGAATTTTGGCGAACGTGCCTGTGACTATCATTTTCGTAGTCTTCCGATATGAAGGGGAAATTTCTCCAAGAAGGTCTTTATTCTAGAAGTAAACTCTTTTCAAACATGATAGTTTCTTGCTGCGCCTCCGTGGAAACGCTTCACGGGAGAGTTCAATTACTCTGTGGGCGTGACACACTCGGAACTTTCGAATTAAATTTTTAGCCTTCTCAATTTTAATCGCATTCATCCATAACTAGGCTCCGAAAATATAACTGACTTCCTCAATCCCCCTTTGATATTTTCAGCTACGATTAAACCTAAATATTAACATATCTTCCATTGTTAAAGCCTGCTATGACTGAACTTGGAGGGCGTTTACCGAGCTATTTCGGAATCTTTCCTCTGCTGACGAAGACGAATGAACAACGTGATTCGCTAACTTTATTACCTAAAAATGCTGTTTGCCGTTTCCTCAATATTTGGTTAGTTGAACTGTTTTACTTGTTGGAAGGTTTTTAAATTCGGGCTTCATTTGACTATCGTGTTAGTTTATGCAGGAAACTAAGTCTAAACATTCTCCTTCTTGGTTGAGAAATGAAGGACTGGAAAACGGGTGAATTTTAATTTGCAACAGACAGAAACCTCACA